ATATTTGTGATATTTGTGAATGTCATACTTAGTCTGACAGTTTTTTTTTGTTTTTGACTATTTTTGGTTTTAAGTGTACATTTGACATTCGTTTAATGAAAAATGGATTTCACACGAGAGGCAAGTAATTCCCTTCACTATTATTCTAATAGTTTTTTTTTTAATTTGAGAATTTGGTTCTTTGATAAAAAGAACTTGAATGCGTGAAATATACGGGATTTACGCAGAAAACCCGGAAAAATTTACTTTTCTCAGAGGGGAGAAAAAACTAATTCTGAAGCTGGCCAACACCATTCGTGATGCAGGCTTGGATCAATTCATGCCATCCAGCAAAACGAACAATTCGAAATCCGAGTCAATAGATTAATTTGAAACGGAAGTGTTAGAAAGAATCCAATCATACTTCAAAGAACGGTATACATTTGTTTGAATTATTTGTCCAACTATTTATCAAATGCTGTGGATCTGTGTTGATTGATTCCAATTGAATGTCAAATTTTTTCCCGGACTCGGAAATCTATCGGCAAGTGTATCTCTGTCGAGGATACAGAATGGCAAGCATTACCTGATTTCTCAAGTTCTCAATTATTATTCCCTATTTATTTATGAACACGCAGATGCACATGTTAAACAAGGAAAAATAATCGAAGTTGAAAAATGGGGCGGGTGTGTTATCTGGGTGGGATAACTGTAGTCTGTCTTTTACCCGAAACGAAATTTAAAAAAAAAAATCGACACGCCTAAGCCTCCGTGCATCGTGAAACACAACACTTGATCTTGCTGGTCGTCACCACCGAAATCCACTCCTTGTCCTTCTAAATTCGACATTCCTTGGTACATGATATCAATATGATAACCATGGTCGTTTTTGGTCGATTTGCCATGAGCCTAGTGAGATTTGCTGCCGGATTTTGTAATGGACGAACGGCCAATGCCGAAACCAAAAACGAAAAATTACGCAAAAATGACGACAAACAGAAAGCTGCATCAGTAAACATAACAACAACGGTGAAACGTCATTAAGTGCACAGTGTACGCTATATAAGGTAAGATATTCCGGTAAATGACATTTGTATAGTGATGTTATTCCTATCCTTTGAGAGCGTAGGAGAGCCTTTTGCTGAACAAAATAAAGTGATTTGCTGTGTCTGCAATGTATTTACACTGTACAATTTGAGTTATTCCCCTGCAAACTATTGAAAGATAGCAATGACGTCATTAGTCGACATTCAAACTTGATGTTTACAACCGAGAGTATATTACCTTGTTTATATATACCGTGATTGAGTGTATTCGTTATAGCTACACTGTTAAAATTGTTTACTTTGTAGCTTTCCGTTTGACAGTTAATATCATTAATATTTATATTAAAAACTATAATAATTATTAATTTGAGCAATTTTAACACCAAATATTACTTCAGATCAAGTTGTACTTCCCTAGGGACCCATGCAAACTAAACTACGAAACTTTGATGGAAAATTAAAACCTATTTTCACTAATTGAGCTTTAATAAAATTGCTTCCAAAACTATTCACAGCGATTGACATTAATAAAATTGTGCAAATCTCGATGAACATTTCAAATGGTCCTATCTGCTTTGATCGATTCTCTTCATCGACTTTCTCTTTCGTTAATAACTCAGCTGCAAAACCTTTCCCTGTTGTATTTGACGTTTTGGACGCTAGATAAGAACCTCCTTTATCAAACTATGTGGTAGAATTAGCGCGAAATCTGTTTGCATAGCAGTGGTTATGAAAAGAGAAAGTCGATGAAGAGAATCGATCAAAGCAGATAGGACCATTTGAAATGTTCATCGAGAAATCACGATCCATTTAAGCGGTTAAAATATGTATTTACTAGAGTCGGTGTATAATGAGTCACGCCAAGAGAAAAACAGTTGAACTCGCATCACGGTTTTCGAAGGATTCCTTTGCTTTTCACTTGGCAACAGAGGACTTCTACATCAACTTCAAATGACTTCTAGCGAGAGAAAAAATATTGCGACTGTAGTAAATCATTATATCAGTGATTTTGTCAAATTATCTTAACAAAAAATAGTAGAAATTCTCATTACTAATCATTACCGAGCGTATCCCATGACAATTTAACGCTCACTGCGTGTTTATGCTCATTTCTTCGATTATATTTTATATTTTATTGCAATACCTTTCGTGGACCTTTCATAGCATCGTAATGTTTATTTACTTTGCACGATAGGTAGCCGGTTTGACAGTTCAATAGGTAGGCTTGGCTTCACTCTTGGCGTGACTCATTATACACCGACTCTAGTATTTACCTTCCCAATTAAACTAAGAGCTTGATGTCCTCTGCTGTCCGGTGAAGTCGTCTCCACTCTACTCGATCCATGGCCACACGTCGCCAGCCTCATACACGGACAGAAAATTGTTTGCATTGAACTAAAAAAAACTTTAGTTGTAGTTTGTTTAAACAATTCCGAATGTAATTAAATTGCATTTTATTGTTTCGATAATACTTATTCATATAAATTCAAAATAAGATTATTTTTGTTTTTAATAAGTCACTTTACAATTGCATCTAAAGTAAAAAAAAATTCTTTTATTTATTCAACAATAGTTAGTTTTCATTCAGGATTTCATGTTGTTTTGTTGTGTCCAATCTCCGGGCGTAACGTATGAATGCAAAAATAACTACCAACCATTCCCTCGTTTTCATCCGGACAAAAATGTAAATAATAACACAAAACTGTTCTCGTGTTAATTCAGCTCTATTCCGCGTTCCACGTAAATATTGTTTTAAACTGTGAATTTTGGGAAAGAAGTACAAGATTTCCGAAAATATTGAGACTTGAGGTAAGTAAGTATGCTGCAGTTGTCTTTTTTTTATTTGTTTTTCCGTCGATCTTGTTTTCCGTACTGAGTACCAATACTACCGACGCTAGGGAGGTAGCTCCCATACCTGAACAAATCGATTAACGTACCCTATTCTAGTCGAAATCTTAGTACTACCGTACTACCATAGAGGTAACTCTAAGACTAGAAGGTCCCGAAATAGCGTGCTCAACTCTGTAGTCTTATAGTACGTTCAGACTACAGAGTTATAACAACAATCAATACGAAACTAACTATTTTAAATTGGCTCACCACTTTAGTAGCCTATTGGTCCCAAGCAAACGATTAACGTACCCTATTCTAGTCGAAATTCTAGTACTACGCAATGTTTGTTTTGATTCGCTATGAAAGTTTGACAGATAAAATGAGGGGTTATTGGTTTTTCCTATGTTTCGAGGGGTGAATCGATAAGCTTGGGACCGAAGAGAGTACCAGAGCTGAGCCAAAAAGTTGAGCACGTTATTTCGGGACCTTCTAGTCTTAGAGTTACCTCTATGGTTATAACAACAATCAATACGAAACTAACGATTTTAAATTGGCTCACCACTTTAGTAGCCTATTGGTCCAAAGCAAACGATTAACGTACCCTATTCTAGTTGAAATTCTATTACTACACTATGTTTGTTTTGATTCGCTATGAAAGTTTGACAGATAACATCAGGGGTGTGTGGATTCATGCAGAACATGCAGGGGTGAGTGAAATAGCTTGGGACTGCTTGGGACCGTTGTTCTGGTACTGAGTGAGCCAAAAATAATAATGATTTTCTTCGGGACCCAGTGGTCTTAGAGTTACCTCTATGGTTATAACATGTTATAGCGCTATCTTGATGGTGGTTTCTGTGTTGCAATTATTTGACAACCTTTATAACATGTTATAACTCTCCAGTCTGGACGCTGTATAAAACGCTGTACAGCCTGGAGAGTTATAACATGTTATAACGGTTGTCAAATAATTGCAACACAGAAACCACCATCAAGATAGCACTATAACATGTTATAACCAGAGGGTGGAAACTAACGATTTTAAATTGATTCACTGCTTGAGTAGCCTATTGGTCCCAAGCAAACGATTAACGTACCCTATTCTAGTTGAAATTCTATTACTACACTATGTTTGTTTTGATTCGCTATGAAAGTTTGACAGATAACATCAGGGGTGTGTGGATTTATGCAGAACATGCAGGGGTGAGTGAAATAGCTTGGGACTGCTTGGGACCGTTGTTCTGGTACTGAGTGAGCCAAAAATAATAATGATTTTCTTCGGGACCTACTAGTCTTAGAGTTACCTCTATGTTATAACTCTGTAGTCTGAACGTACTATTAAATGCATAAAAAAATGACAAAATGATACACTCTTTGCACACTGTCAAAGAATCATTGTACACAAAATCAACTTTGAGCAAAACCAAAACAAAAATACTATCCCATCTGGTGGATGATGGCACAAACTTCTAAGAAAACTCTATTACAGCGAACCACATTATTTTAATGGATTTCTTCGCCAGTTAGTCGTCTGTCACTTCGTTTGTGGTACTATTATAGTACGTTCAGACTACAGAGTTATAACATCCCTAATAAACTGGTACCATACACTAACGATATCATAGATGGTTCGAACATACCACATAAAGTTGGAATGATATCCCGAATTGGTGGTTAGGCGCTTCTTATGGTTATTGTTTATGCGGGATGTTATAGCGCTATCTTGATGGTGGTTTCTGTTCTGCAATTATTTGATTATTTGGCTAATCAAATGAACTTGGTTTTCTACCTCAGTGTTGTGAACGTAAAATTCCAATTAGAATAGACGTAAACAACAATTCGATGTCAACCTTTCATTAGAATGAAAGAGCGAAACTGCTTTTGAAAACAATGGCTTCAACCATACCAGCTGGTAGCCATACAAACTAACCATACCAGCTGATAGAGAAACATAATTGGTACAGTTAATTTGCATATTGAGCTTTCATTCGCGGGAAATCTACGGCAAAATTAATTCTTTACAAAAGCATTTTCACCTTTTTGACATATTGATGAAGAATTTCAGCAATATTTTTCTACTGTGTACCCTTCTCCAGCTGTCAGAGAAAAAAAAACATCGAACAAGGTTTGAGTGTATGAGTGTCACCAAAATTAAAATTGACGCATGATAGTAGTGGTGCATTCCATATCGTGTGGTGATTCGTCATTCGTCCAAAGAGCAAGCACTAGTCTGGAGTATCCTTATGTATCTACGAATATTTTGCCTTTTCCGTTTCGTCCTTGTGTCTAACCAAATTGATTGTTGATATTATGGTAAAACCAGTTTCGTTAGTAACCAATTGTTAAACGCGTTAACATGCTTCGTGGCCAGTGCGTCCGATTAGCGCCTGCAAAGATACGGAAGTTTCCATTGCTGTGAAGAAAGTGTGTGAAGAAGAAGAACGAAAGGGCCACTCCTGTTTCATTGTGTCTCGCTGATGTCGGAAGTTTTTGAGTGGTTCGCTTTACACTAATTTCGTGCGAAAGTCGTTAGGTGCTAACCGGATTTTTTCATTCGCAAAACATTAAAGAACAGTCAGTGATATTAGGATCGCAGATCCACTCGCTACTTCACAACAATGATGAAAAGCTTATTCGGCAGGAAAACTGCCAAAGATAATGACCGGAACAAAATATCGGAGATTGGGTTGCCCACCAATGTGGTGCATGGACTTCATGTCAGCAAGAATAAACTTACCGGTGATTTGGAAGGGCTGCCGAAAGCATGGATCAGGATCATGGATGCATCCATCACACATGATGAACAGAGTAAAAATCCTGAGGCGGCATACCAGGCAGTTAAATTTTACAACTACTCCATCAAGAAGAAAGAACAGGCAGAACCATTCAAGCCATTTATCACTGAGGATGCCATCCATGAAGAAACTGAATCAATCAACCAGTTTCTGGATATGAAAAATGCTCACAAAAGCGAGGATTCAATCGAAAGTAGTGAAGAAAATTTTACAGAAGTTAGTACGCCACCACCTCCATTGCCCAAGAAGGCAATGACCCTACCACCGAAGCCACAGGTTATGCCCAAGCCCACAAACTATCCAAGGCTCTCCAAGGGAATTCAAAACCTTAACCTGATGGAAAGTGGAAACAAAGAGACTATGATTATACATAGTAATAACACGGCATTGGATAATCATAAAAGCGCCTACGAGTTGGTCAATAAAGTCGACTTGGACGCTGAGAACGAACTTATATTGCGGCCAAAGGAACAGAATGCCCGTATGCCCAAAACAGATATGCAAGTTTACAAAGAGCTGAAACGGATTTGCAACATGAATGACCCTCTGCAACGGTACGAGAAAACTGTTGAAGTAGGTAAAGGTGCATCCGGAGTAGTATTTATAGCGCTTGATCGTCAAACGTCTCAAAAAGTCGCGATCAAGACTATAGATATGAAAAACCAATCGTCCAAAGAATCCATCCTCAATGAAATCAATGTACTGAAGGATTTCAATCATAGAAATTTAGTAAACTTTCTCGAGGCTTACTACCTTGAAGCAGAAGATCATCTGTGGGTCATTCTGGAATATATGGACGGCGGACCGTTGACGGATGTGGTGACAGAGACAGTGATGAAGGATCGTCAGATTGCAGCAGTTTGTCGTGAGGTTCTGCAAGCGGTCAGTTTTCTTCATTCGAAAGGAATCATCCATAGAGATATCAAATCAGACAACGTGCTCCTCGCGCTGGACGGCTCAGTCAAAGTTACTGATTTTGGATTTTGTGCCAACATAGAAGGGGACGAGAAGCGTCAAACTATGGTGGGTACTCCTTATTGGATGGCACCGGAAGTTGTAACACGCAAGCAATATGGGAAAAAGGTTGATATTTGGTCACTGGGAATAATGGCCATAGAAATGATTGAAGGGCAACCGCCATACCTAAACCAAGCTCCTCTGCGAGCGCTTTATCTGATTGCCGCCAATGGGAGACCCGACGTCAAGAGTTGGGATAAATTGTCAGACAATCTGAAGGATTTCCTCGATTGCTGCCTGCAGGTGGAAGTGGATCAGCGAGCATCCGCGGACGAACTGCTACAACATCCGTTCCTGCAGGACTGCATGGAGCTGCGAACCTTGACACCATTGATCAAAGCTGCCCGACGTTTACTGAAACGGGACAACTATAGTTAGGTCGTGCAATGAAGAGAAAAAAAAGATGATACATGTGCCGATATGGCTGTGAAATAAAGTGCCTTAAATTTACTACCGAACTTCATTTTCAATGAAGGAAGAAACGAAAGTCGTGTGTGAAGTGTGAACAAAAGATAAGGTTTCGACACTTTTCTTATGATAAGAGCCCGTGTTTCAAAGGCAAGACAAGTAAGATTACAAGAATGGAAAAAATGAAAACTGATTGGAAATGTATTTTAACATGTCATACTTTATAGAATATGTCATATCGTCCAGTATGTTCAAGAGTGTGTTGTGTGTTGGAAGAAATTTTGAAGATAAGAACATGTAAATGTGTAGCGAAGTCGAAGTGCAAGAAAAAGAAATGACTGTAGTATATAACTAAAATAATGCGAACCGCAACCGTCTTTGACATTCCCGAATTCACCGGATTGTATGCCATTGCAAAAAAAAAACTCAAATCAATTACTAGAACTAAGGCCAAAAAAAAAATAGAGTAAGGTGGGCAAAAGTTCGTTTTGAGGTTTCGAAGCCCGCACAAAATAAAACTCAATGTTTTAGCACTTGTTTGAAAGGTCTTTTGGAGCCAGATTTTCCTCTAAAAAATCACAAAAAATGGTCTTATTTTCAAAGAATTATAGGTAAAAGTTTGTGAGCCATTGCCATATTGCTGAATCGTTTTGAACACTTTCGGAAAAAAATCATTATAGCTACGAATTAATTGAAGTGCATAAAGTTTTGAAATATTTTAATTTTTCAACTAAGGTCCAACTTTTGCCCAGCTAACTATATTTGATATCATTTAAATCTCTGCAGAGAACAGATTCAAGCAACTGGCAAAGCATTTATGTTTCAATAAGCTCTTCGAGCGTTTATCCACTTTGAATGCATTATAAACCGTTACAAAAGATGAATTTGCCCGTATGCTCTAAGCGCTACAAATGATAAGATAGACCAACGTCATTAGAGGCACACGAAAATTGGGTGACTCATGCATGTTTCCCGTTATTCTTCTGTAAACCCTGACGTGAGAGGCCTTTCTATACCTGCATAAATCGTACATCACGAAACAAGGGAAAGAAGAATGCTTACTTTCGTTTTCGTTTCGATTAAGTAAATTGGCTTCTGTACAAGATCATCTTCTAATTTCCCCTCCTGGTGTTGATTTTTTTCTCCGGTGCATGTTTACACAAAACAGACAGAACTGGGGAAATGTGTGCGATGATTTGAGAATTTGCGTGCATACTTACAGTAATGAAATAACGACTTGGAGTGGGTTGTTTTCAACTACTTTTTATGTTTTATTCGCTTTACCTACACATTCTTACGACTACGACTGGATTGGTTGGATAATTGACTCGTAAATAATAATAAAAATATGAGACACTCGCAGGCAGTAGACGTACGGAAAGTGATCGTTGCTTGTGGTTGAATAAGCGGATCTAAGCGATCTTACATTTACTGCTAAAAAGAATGTACATCGCACGATCTGCATGTGTTCATCTATACGGAAGAGAAGATCATCATTGTCAGCGTAGCCAAGCACTGCATCCAGTATCGAAGAATAGATGTATCAGCTAATTGCTTTTACGGTGCTAAAATTAGTTTGACCTTACTCGTTACTATGACTGGGGTTACATTTCCGCAATTGATAAAAAAAATATAGAAATTTGTTTATTGGATTTAATAATCTGCTGATACCACAAGCAAGTTAATACATCGTTTATCCTATGATAGACAAATACGCAAATACCCATGGTGTGGGCATCGATACGGTGCGACGTCAAAACGGCGCTGATTTATGATTTCGATAAGCATTAGGTAGGGGAAATTGGCTCTAATGTTGGCCTATGGATCTGGATCTGGAAGTGATGTGATTTGAGCCGAAGCATATTTCACTGCCCTGTGCGACATAACAGTCCCATTAGCATTTTTTGGCGAAAATGAGTAATACATTGGAATCAATTGTCAAGAACCATCACTTTACAATATAGGGGAAATGGCTCTAATGTTGGCCTATGGATCTAAGATTGGGCGCATCGCTAAAAATCTACTATTCATTAATTTTATCTAGATGAACGCATTATTGGGACGGTACTAATGGATATTTTTGGTCGCTATTGAAAATTTAGTCGATTGCTGAATGTATGTATGGGCCCAAATTAGGGGCATTTAGGCCGGTATTACATTCATGTCCCCAACATGACAAGTTTACTACTTTGTTCAGAAAATGTCGCGTTAAATACCAAAACTATGTTGTCCCATCCAAAAGAGCCCATGGAGAAAAAAAAAATCTTAAACAGCATTTTTCTCAGCCTGCTGTTTTAGCGAATGGGACAAGCTGTATCAAAGAAAATCGCGAAAAATTTCTGCTCTTACTCTTGTGTTTGCATGAGTCTGCACGCCGGCGCCGGTGGTGTTGGGGTAAGCGTAACTGCTTTCTCACCCCAATGGATCTGTGTTCAATCTCAGTCGAGATCGGTGGGATTTTTTTTAAATGTGTATGAGATCTCGTTGTCTGCGTATTGAAGAAAATGAGTATTGAAGAAGCTCCTTCGTCCTGGAACATCCATCTTTGATTTTTTTTTTCTCGAACAAGTGAAGAGTGGTATCTATGGCAGCAGAGAGAGATTCAGCGCTGGCTCTCTAGATGTCCTCAACAAGCTTGAATTTCAGTCCAGAAAGATGATACAAGGATTCCAGTTTGCACCGAATCGGAGTCAAAGAGGTGACTCGGCCATTCATCACCGCAAGCTCGAAATCGGGGTGAGAGTAAATGCCTGATTCTTTCATACAGAACTCAGTTTTCTGTCCACTCGGGCTTTTCCTTTGTGAAACCCTGGTAAGAGGCGAAATTGTTCTTATCTCAATGGGAGCACTACGACAGCTTTGAGGGCGGCGGTGCACAGGTGAACTAATAGATGTGACTGAGGGGGCGTATTTTGCCTCTCTATCAGAAGCCGGAGCACGCAATAACAGATCGTTAAACTGGAGAAGTGTAACTCCTAGTTGTTTTTGGGTCTCATATGTTCCTTTGGAAGCATAGTTGACTTGGGCAACAAAGCTTTCTATTTATTTTCCTCGTAGTTCGAAGGCCTCTGAATGTTATTGGGCAGTAGTGTTTATATTGTCCACAAGAAGGGAGATCTTCCTAACAGCTTTCTCCATTGATTCCTCCGTGGCCAGGAACATTTCTTTTTCCAGAGAGATGATAGCCGTGTACAGCATGTCCACAGAACCTGGAAGGGTGAGAGTTCAGATATGATCCTACTTTGTGTGGACGGTGCGTCAGCTCAATACTGGCTCGGCGTCACACCATGCTCGTGCTTCTGGAAGTCACTATGACGAATTCCCAACTCATATAAACGGCTGATATACAAGGGCCTCTTTTGCATTAGGAGTGAGGCTCAGGAGGCGATATTACTCGACCATCTCATCATGAGTCGTATTGAGTTTGTCGGGAACTCCTGGCTCATCCTCTTGGAAGACTCCATCTTTCTCATCTCCTTCTCCATAGAAAGCTGCAATGTCAAGCACAGGAATTGGGGGGGGGGGGGCAATCCAGCAATCGTAGGGATGATGGGTGTAAAATGTCCATGCCAAAGTGAATTGATATTTAAATGCAATCCCATCCTCCAACATATGGATGGGACTAGACTATTGCTAAATTCTTGTTTAAATTGGTAAACACTGTTTTCGAAATACTGCGGGGCAAAATGCACTTACTTATTTCATGCCACGGGAGCATGCATTTTTTTTTCTTTCTTTATTGAAATTCAAAGGATCACGCCTGATAATTATGCTTTCCACACTACAATTCCGGGAGCGCATTATTCCCCACTTACAGTCCCAAATAGTAATGTTGAAAATAACTGCCATGCCATTCAATCGAGCCGAAATATGAAGGATGTACCTAACATCTTGCATCAATCAAATTGTTAATTTTGGTAGTGTTAAGAGATACCAGCTGTTTTAAGAAATAAGTATTCTTGAATGATATTCTACTAAAATCGTTTTCCAGTTTTATGAATTTCAACATTTTTTTCTATATGTTACATTATGAAGCGATCAATTTGCGTTTGAATTACGGTACGTTTAAAGTTCACCATATGGTTGTAATTTTTACACCTCATATTATCAACTAACAGCTAAAATATAAAAAAAGAGGGGGCGCATTTTGCCCTACTGCATTATTTCGTGAAAATCGTGTACCAAAAACAACCGCGTAAAAACAAAATCTTGTATTGTTGGTTGCAACTAAAGTGTGATAAAAGTACACGTTTACGTCAAATCATTTTGTTGACTTCGGAACACTTATTTTTTGCTTCGTAAGGAATAAGTGCGTCGGAGACAACAAAATGATTTGACGTAAACGTGCGCTATAAATATATTGATGTAGATAAAAGTAGCATTTTCGAGTGCGAACAAATATCATTGCGTTTAGAAATATAAGTTCTTTGACAAGATACTGACTGAAAATCAAAGTGACATTTCTCGCTGGCATCACTGATCACCCTATGCATCTAATGTCGCTAATGACGTCGAAAATCGTTAGTCCGACTAGCGCACTTCGGTTTAGTGCTGCCGCCCCTACAAAACTTACCAAACCTACTTGCCTCTGAGGTTTAAAATTTGTTGTGCATGATCATCACCGTTCACCGGTTTAAGACTTGCAGTCTTCTAAATATTACAGAAAAAGATAAATCAACATTGACCTTTACGTGCAAATTATCCTCATCATTTTTTAACATTTCAGTACCAATTTCATATGATATGCGAAACTGTTTTTGTAAACATTGTTTTCATTCAACGATATCACAAACAAGCTATAACTATGATAAAGTAAACATTCATCCATCTGGTGATTTTGTTAGTTTGCGATTTTTTTATTGCGAGAAATCGGCGATTAGTTATTGTTTACAACAGCAGTTTCGTTCTTTTGAAATGTTGGGGTCGATTTTTATCTAGTTTTTTTTAGTTTTCATGGCTGATTTGGCTTCTACAATCAGCCATGATAGCGGCCATGTATATATTCTACCAATTTTATCCTTACGAAATTTTTAACAACATTCTGTTCAATTTCACGGAACTAAATCCACAGTTAAGGCTGGTCTAGTCATTGATTTGACGCATCAATTGAAAAGATGCACATATTTCCCTACCTATAGAATAACCAATTTGCATTAAACGTTAGAAGCAAATACATTTGACATCCAATCGAAAAGCAGTAAGCTCAAACTTATAATAATAACGCCTATTAGTCTCAACATTACCCACACATGGAAATAGAAACATCCTTTTGTATACTTATTTAAATAAATAAAAAAGAACTCATTGACTGATTCAGCACACAAAACGCAACAGAAAGAGCACATTTTATCAGACAATTAGGGGCTGTTCATAAACTACGTAGACAGTTTAGGGGGGGGGGGGGTGACAATTATCCACGGCCCATACAAATTTTAAATTTTTTGTATGAACAATTGTCTACGTAGGGGGAGGGGGGGGGGTCAAGAATCCTAAAAACTGTCTACGTAGTTTATGAACAGTCCCTTAGATACTTTTTTTTTGTAAAACTTGCAGTATAAGTATTTTTGATAAAACTTTTTCGCTTAGACAGCGATCAGTATACACATATAATCAGAACGTAAGCATTAAAATGTACGCAACAATCACAGCAGTAGATCAATGATCGCAATATATATCATGCATTTATACGA